ATTTTGGGCTAATGTGTTTAGCCGGCTTCTCACGGTACTTTGCAGCTAGTTCCCTTGGAGACTCGGGACCCCCTCTCCTTCGATGTGTTCAATTTCTTGATCAATGTCTCGACATCCTTTCCTAAACTTGACATCCATACCAAAATTACAGTGAACGAGTACAAATTTTAAGGGGAAAAAAATTGCAATAGTTATGAAGTCTCAACGGATATCTAATTGGCATATAAACATCCAAGTCATCTTGAGCAAATATGAATATCTAAATTATGAAAAATAAAAGATTATATTAGGAAATGCAAATTACCTCAGGCTCACTACCATAAGAATTAAATATTATCATGGTATAATCCGTGCCATTGATGCCAGGCAATGCAAATATCACTCTATCAGCTCCAATGCCAAAGTCATTACTTGCTCGAGTAATTTTATGCTCCACTGAATATCGATTATCAAACTTATCAAATTGACAAACCATAAATGTCAAAAATCCCATATTATAAATTTAAATTGCTGGAGTTTCCCATAAATCATCGGACATAATTTATGCGTACAACACGGGTAAATACGTACACACTCAAATATTCAAGTTATGCAAAACTTACTAGTATGAAACCGTTTCCGAGTCCATAATACTAGACGAAGTGAAGAACACCACTTTCTCTACGATCGAGAAACGAATAGGGAGAAAATTTCTTAGGAGCCTGATTGCTCATTGAAGCAAAATGAGGGAATTTGGTTTCCGTGCAGCGAAAATTGGAAGCATTTGGTGAATGTCTAATTGAAGGCAAAACAAAGAAGAGAATATGCGAGGGAGAGACGATTAATGGTGGTGAACTTGGCATCGGCAAATTGAAGGAAAGGGAGACTGAGGAAGTCAAACTAGAGTTATTAGAAAGGAACATATTTTATACTCTTTATTTATAAAGCATTCTATTTTTCAATTTTCTTATTTTTGGGCAGTAATTAGCCGAAAGAAAAACTAGAGCTAACCTCCCTCGTTCTAAACAAATCACTTCAGATAAATGAGTTCGTGGCATTTGTCTTGCAAACAAGCCATTA